CCGGTGTCGGACAGACACAAACACACCGAACACACAGAGCTGAGCTGAGCAGAGCACATACACACACACATCATGCGCCTTGGTGACTGACTGGACATCTCCTTCATAAAACTAATAAAAGGGGGAGTAATCGGGCAGTTCAATGTGTGTAGAGATGTGTGTAGAGGTCAAGCCCCCAGGAAGTGCGCCGGACTCTGATGAAAATATTCGTGCTGGCCAAACGGCGGTACTACACTTCCTTTTGGTTGCCAGGCCCGGAAACACTTTTTCCCATTGACTTACATGGGGAAAGAGTGGTCTGTAAATCGTTGGATAATTTTTTTTAAACTAAATAAACTACCCAGTATGAACACTTGTATAGCCCTTATTAAAAACATTCGTTCCTCAAGTTGTAAAATGTGCTAATAACGTTATTCTGAGAGTTATTTCCCTCTGCATTATGAACGCGCATCTAACCCACGGGACCGCGCCGCCCGGCACGTTCATGTTACGTGTTCAGCACTACATGCGTTTATCTTTACCCATGGATGCACAATAAGAACGGACCCATATCGCCTTACTGCCAGCCCACAGAGCTGTAATAATGGATATATTGCACATGTTTGCTGTAATTCATCATTTGTAAAATATTATACTACATGGGCTGTATGATTAAATCTTGTACCGTAAATGTTGTATTAAATAAAGTTAATATTACCGACGTAGATTAACGTCCCTGTAGCTTCTTATTGCACTAAGAAGCTTATTGCACTGTGTATATATATATATATATACACAGCAATAATTCTTTCCTGCTAAATGAAGCTCTGTTGCTTGGATATCACTAGATCCTGTTACAGCGTAATATAAAAGTACATAACGATTGATGTGTAAATTAGCATAATTACTAGCTAACCGCTAGCTGCTAACTGCCGCCTCGTTAATATCAAATCTATCATAACAAACATTACCATGCTGTCATGAACGTGCGGTGCTGTTACGTGTACGCAAATTGACGTGCTTGATGTGAACGAGCATTTTGGGGGGCATGGTTAAAGTTGCGCATGCGCTATGAGCGCACATACGGGTACTTCTCAGGCATGCCGGGTAATCTGTGACGTTTCGCTCTCTCAAAAGTTGGGCCATTTTATCATCATGCGCGAATGAGCAACTCTCATAGGAATTAATGAGGCCCCGCCTCCCACGCTGTATCCAGTTCTTATTATACATCCATGGTAGAGGTGTGTGTGGTTAACACGTAGCAGCCTGCAGTCACTCTTAAGCTGTTCTGATTAAGTTAAACACAGCGAAGGCGGTGCGTAAAAAGGCACAGCTCTTTACCGACAGTGGCGACTGGTCATTAGGGGCAGGTGGGGCACAGCCCCACCTAGTGTCATCAGAAAGTATTACACATAATGATTACAAAAAATGCAAAGAGATGCAAAAAAAGAAATAAAAAAATATATAAAATATATTTTAAGGTCATGTTTAATCATCTGATTCGTCTGTACATTGCTGTTTTAGTCTGTGTTCTAATTAGTGTCTACAGTGCCGTTTTGAGCCATGTGGGACAAAACCTGACCATGCCCCACCCTCTCACTGTCAAAGTGAACGGTGACTGTAAAAACTATACTGCGCATGCTCAGAGTATTTTTCAATGTAATGTGTGTGGCAAAAAAAAAAAGTCCTTAGGGGCACAGAGCTGCCATCCCCACCATACGTCATCTCACATCATTCAGAGCTGATTGGCTGTAAGTACGTGTACCGCGAAAAGTGTGCTGTGTGAAGAGGAGATGAGAGAGCTGCAGTGACGCGTCCTAAAACCAGGAAGTAAGCTGCAAAAAAGCAATGAGGTTTCTCCATAGGATTTTAGAAAATAGCTCGAAATAAGATCTGTGGGAAACGTACCGGCTGAACAAAAATGCACGTTTTGTTCAGCCGGATAACATCCACATGTCTACCCTACTTTTATAATTTTTTTATCATAAATCTATCGATTAGATTTATGATAGACGTTTGAAACTACAAGAAGATAAGGAGGACTTTTACAAAAAAGTTATAGAAATTTTTGTCCAGAAGGATAGGCAAATGGACTTCATCTTCAAGTCAAGGTAAGACCGCAATTTTATTGAAAATGGGATCTTACTAAGAGAGAACAATTCAATATTTAAATGATAAAATTAAATTTTTTGGGTATCCTTTTGTTGAACTGTCTGTTTAAAATTAATCGAAGCATCAGACAAAAAAAGCTTTTGAAAATAATATTATATTTTGGTTTAGGTCAAAATATAATATTTGTAAACCTGAAGAGTCAGTGCCAGTGCCTCACCAGCCATGAACCTCACTGCACGTCACTGCAGAAGCTAGACATCTAAGTTTTTTGTGCCCCACCACTTTTGTACATATAAAAACGCCACTGTTTACCGAGTATACGTCCCGCTGCCTCCTGATGCTGCAGCCATTTCATGAAGGAGGGTTTCCTTCTATAAAACAGCTGCGGGCAGCAGATCGTGAGAGTCTCGGACATTAATTCATAGATCAAGGCAGACTGGTTTACTCTCCTGTTTTGCCAATCCGGTGCTTAAACAAATAGCTTTACACCCCTGGCCGACATGTCCTTAAAATGAAGTCAGAGTTTGAAATATATCTCAAATAATGTATGCACCACCATTTCCCCACATAAACATAACAGTCTGCAATCAAACGGTTGTCTCCTGTGCGCTCCTCTTCCTACTTGGCGCACCGGTAACATTCTTGTGCGCACAAGAGGCTGAGACCTTAGGCTGAGTCGCCGAATCCCTCGGAACATCATAAAAGCCATTTTCAACCGTTTTCTGGTGAAAGATTAACTAGCTACTGGATGAAATAATATGACCGGTGGCATAGGTGCGAAAATTAAACACTTTTTGAAAAAAATATTTTATATATTTATAATTCTGCAAATATTACGATAAACTCACAGCTATTTCGCGGCCCGGCAGTAACACCTCCGCGGCCCGGTACCGGTCCGCGGACCGGGGGTTGGGAACCCCTGGTGTAGTGCATATCAGTCCATGTAAAAATAAAAATAAAAATAATCTCCCTTCTCCCTAATGGTTGTAGCCACCTCGCAGTCTCTGCAGATACGCTGTATAAGGATATCCTCCTCTGCAAAAACTACGAAATCGCACCACTCCATCCCTGGGAGTAGGAGCTGGCCTTGCACCTGCCAATAGTAGCTATGAGACTGCTTCAGTTTTAATGTGCCACTTTGCATTTTTAAGTAGCTACAGTCCACATAACTTTTTGCATTTGGGCATTTTATTTCAACAAGTCCAAAAGGTGGGCTCTCAGTTGGGTCAAACACCAGACCGTCAGGAGATGACCCTAACCAGGGGGCATCTGGGTGAATGACAAACCCACACGGCCAATAATTGGTGTTTTTAATCCGGCAGTAATCCTGGATGGCAACCGGTTCCAGTGCCAGTCCCCTCTTCATTGACGCCGTTTGCGCCACTCCCTTCCGAATCCGTTGTGCCAAGTTTTCAGCCGAACTCTGACCTCGAACATGGCATACTTCCCTGAAACGGGAAGAAGTTATTCTTGGCCTCCTAACACGGTGCCATTCCACACTGTCGCTCTGCTCCCTTGTGGCCACCTCGATTTTCCTTGCCATGAGCAATGTTGTCGCAAGTAGATGGAGGTGCTGTTGGTGACTGCACACAAACTCACAGGTGGTAGGCTCCAGCCTATAGCCATCCACAGGTAGAGGTGGTGGTGGAGGGGCATCTGGGTGACGCACTATAACCCGGCTAAGGGGTAGTGGATGCTGGTATGAGATAGGGCTACCTTCCTGAACTTTTCCAAAGGTGGAGCTAACCAGTGGCACGTCCACACTTATAGCCATGGTGGTGATCAGAGGTGCGATGTCTGCTGAGATCCTTGTATACCTCGCTGACTTTGAGGACATCTGGGTCTGGCAGCTCCCCCCGCACGGCCTTGTAACGTGTACTCCTTTGAACATGTTTGTATAATAATTAGGACTTTAAGAACATGATCCTGTTGTCACCGGGACTTGACTTCCTTTAGAAAATATTGTCGTCGAACAGCTGTTTTCAGTGTTCAGGGAAGAAATAAATGCTTGATTGTCCCATACAGGTCTTCTAGTTTTTCCTCAAGTTTCTGTCAAGATGTAGCCTTTCTCTTCCTCTCTTATGGGGCTTTGGACCACAAAGTCCTCACCTCCTTTTGCAAAGGCTACTTGTTTAGGTGTGAATGAGCAGGTCAGTAAGCCCATCACAGATCTAATCAATCTGCCAGGCATGATTAAGCAATTCAAATGCAAGATCTGGTGAATACAGGCAGGATATTCAAAGAGTAGATTGAGAAAAACAAGAATATGCTAAATTGTTTTGAGCCATGGATAGAACCAGTATATGTAAAAGCCTAGAACTGTCATGATTTTAGTTTTGTGTGTTTAGTAATGGGTTTATTTTGAAATCCTGTTCTCCCTGTGTCTGGTCTTCCTGTGTTTGCCCTCCTGTGTCTGATTGTGCCTCATTTGTGTTCACCCGTTGCCCTTGTCTGATCTTCTTCTTTCATGTCCTCCTTGCACCTCTGTTTGTTCCTGTCAGTTTTTGTCTAGATGCTACCAGTTTTTGGATTTATTCTTGTTTCTTCATGGTCAACAGTTTTTTTGTTAAATAAAGCTCACTTTTTGTTTAAAACCCGCTTCTACTCATCCTGCATTTGGGTCCTGATTTTCCCCAACCTTGACAAGAACCTGAAACCACATTTCACAACTTAAATAAAAAACACAAAGCTGCACATATGCGTGTGGAAAGTAAGACACAGTTAAGGTTTGTTAACACAAAGTGAGCATTTTATGAGTTCAATGACTCATAACTTTAGAAGAAGCCTAAATAATAATACAAATAATTTGGATTTATATAGCGCATTTCAAGAAACCCAAGGAGGATTTTTGTCCCCCCACGGCAAAAAGGAAAAACAAATATGAAGATAAAAAACTGAAATAAACAAAAGCTGGTCACAAAAATCTTAGTGTTTATTTGGTGGGACTATTTGGCTAGTTAAGCATTTGTTACAAACAAACAAACAGCATTTCTCAATTCACTCAAAGTTCTTGGATGCTTTTAGGCTGAGAGCTATCTTAAGTTCTTCACCACCATCTCAACGGCACAAAATAAACCTATTTAAATCAACCTACACTGTGCTTACTGTATGCAAACAAAATAGTCCTTTTATTTCTAGAGAAGTAGGCCTACAATGGGCAGCAATGAATGATCAACTGATCAAGGACCTGTGTGTACTTTTTAGCAAGTTAGCAAGCAGAAGCACAACGCTTGAATCCAGAATTTTCTTTTAATTATTAAAGGTGGGGTAGGTAAGTTTGAGAAACCGGCTCGAGATACACTTTTTGTTATATTCCATGGAATGCTCTTAACCGGCTCAGTATCTCAATCAGGTTTCTCAAACTTACCTACCCCACCCAAGTATTTATTTTCAAGGTAAAAAATGGTGACAAAAATATAAGATTGGTAAATAAATGCACTTGATTGTACATTGAAGATAAACATGAGGTATCAGCTGTATGAAGAGGCAGTTCTAAAAATGTTATAGTAACATAACATTATTTCTAAACTAGAGAATGCAATTCCTGAAGAAATTGCTAGTGGGAATGCTTTAAGCTGAAAAGCTGACGCTAAACTGCTGTGCTGAAATGTAAAGTGAAGAATTTAAATTGAAATTATACATGAACACTGGGGGCTTGAATGTGTGATGAGAGAAGAAAAGAAAGTAAAAAGGCTTGGAAAAGCAGCAGAATATTTGAACTGCAAACTTTTGAACTAACTTGATGGCGAATGATCTGTCGCCATGCCAACAGCATTTGATGACATCCCATAATACGCTTAGATGCGTTGATGGCTGCATCGTTACCAAACCTGTGAAGTTTTGGTCCGTTTGGAGCATTTTCACTGAAGTTATGAGAAAACCGCCACCGTTTTATGGCGAGGGATGCGTTTCCATGGAAACGGCATATGGTAAGAAGATGTCAGATTTGACGAAATTTCAAAGCGTGAAGCATGTCAAGGAACTTGAGCATCTGAAGTGTACTTTTTGTGTACTTTCGGATTAATAATGTGGCCTTTTTGGCAGATTAACTAAAAGGTGTGCGGCTGCTGTGGTGGGGAAAGGTGAGGCTGAACTTACAATGGGTTTTAATGGAGACATGTTGAACGTTTTTGTCACTTCATGCCCTCAAGAGGCATTTTCTTTAATTATTTTGCTTAATTTTTTTTATCTTTCAAGCTACGAGATGTTTTCCTACGTTTGTCATGAAAAATTATGTCTCAGGAATGTAGGGTTTGGAAATTATGGCAGGTTTAAAAGAAAATATGAAGGCAAAATTAAATCTGTCCTCCACTCTAGCTGTGACATCACACACTCTAAAATCTGAAGAAGGCCTCTTTACCAAGGTCTGAACAATGTTTAATATCTCTAAAAGTAAGAATCAGATTTAAAAGTTGTGTTACACGAATAATGTCAGAAAGATGTGTAACATTCATTATGAAGGAGCAGTTAGCAGTTGAAGGAGCAGTTAGCAGTTGAATTTGCATGAAGATTGTTGAAGTCTGAAGAGTTTCTCCATTGACTTCCATGTTAAAAATGGGATGTATTATGGGATGTATCTCTGGAATTATGAAAGTTATGAATGATAAAAGTAATAGCTATTGATTCCCGACCGAGCTGAACGTTTTGATGTTTGAACGGAGTTTCTGCGATGTTCAATGTGGGAGGAGAAATGGCGCAAAATAACCCGGCGGAATAATAAAGAATTTTGTGCGTAGCATAACAGATAGTTGGAATGCTGTGTCAGCATTCCCACTAAAATACAATTTCAGACAACTTCATGAGAATAGGACAAATGCTAGCTGATTAATAACAGTTAAACACAATTCATTTTTACAAGCAGTTATAATGCAGTGCCCTAGCTCCATTACTCATTGGCGTCTAACGGCACACAGCTCATGAGGTGACGGGCTGAGGGTGAAGCCCACAGCTGGAGTGAGATCCAGTTCATCCTCTGTAACTCCAGGTGGAGGAGTGTAACGAAAGCGCTGGAGGAGGAAGGTGAAGAAGAGGAACAGCTCCATCTTGGCCAGACTCTCCCCCAGACACACCCTGCGACCTTTGAGAGAAAAATTGATTTGCATGTAGTTAAACTGGATCGCATCTTTAGAATGGTAATATATTTAAATACAAAGTTTGTACCTGCAGAAAATGGCATGAAGGCATCTCTCCTGAAAAAGTTACCCTCCTTATCCAGGAAGTGGGAAGGGTTGAAAGTGTGTGGTGTTTCCCATTCACTCTCATCATACAGGACAGAAGTAAGAAGAGGAAGCACAGTAGTCCCCTGTAGGAAAAAGCGGAGAGCAAGGTGTATCATAACAAGTATGGAGAGAATGAGAATCTCCGGCATATTTTGTTGTGGCTAAGTATTGAAACACCTTAACACCTGACCTCTTTGATGAAGTATCCTTGGAAGGTGACATCTCGGCTGGTTTTATGAGGAATGGCCATGGGGAGAATGTTGGCCAGTCTCTGTATCTCATGGATGACAGCATCAGTGTACGGCAGGTTCTTCCGGTCTTCGACCCCTGCCTGACGGCTTCCTATCACTCTGCTCATCTCCTCCTGGACCTGGTCTGAACACACAAAATCAATAACTGTTAAAAATATGTATATTCATAAGTTATTTGTATCTTGACTAAGAGTTCACATCCCTGCCAATGGCTTTGCGAAGCTGTACTTTTGGGGGTAAAATGCTAAAGTCAGTATGCTAACCTGTTCAAAATGACGATGATATCAGATGTATCGTTTACCATGTTTACCATAATGGTTTATAATCACTAAACGCAAAGTGCAGCTGAGGCTGATGGGAATGTAATTTGCGTTACATTTCCTCTGCCTTCGAAATCTACAGAAGAAAATGTTTCTGTAATATAGTTTAAGTAAGACTGGTATTCCCTGAAATTAGCTTGAAAATAAAGCCTGCATAAAAACACAATCTGTAAAAAATAGAAAAAAAGGTAAAAGCAAAAAAAAGGTTTCAAAAGGGTAGTGACTTAAGAGGGAGGACTAAAACTACTGTACTCTTGTTATCTCCCGAAGGTTACTTACTTAGCTTTATTTCAATGCCTGCTACTTTCCCTTTAAGTGGTTTCCAGCATATATGGTTTATCGTAATATATATATATATTTGAACTTATATAAAAACAACCACATTTTAATCTATCGAAACTTGATTTATTTGATGGGCATCCACAGGTGCAAATATAAATGCACGCCTACAAGCCTCATCTTTCTTTTACCTTGTACATGCGGATATTTAGCCATAAGCAGCAAACCCCATCTCAGTGTAGTTGCTGTAGTGTCGGTACCAGCAGAAAACAGGTTGGTTATTGTAAATATCAAATTCTTCTCGTTGTAGTGAGTGTCCTTCACACAAGAGTCCTGAGAGAAAGAGCACCCACATATTGTTATAAAATACAATGTTCTCTTTGTTTGATGCATATGCAGTGAGGTTGTCTTACTTCTTCTTTCTCCTTCCGAATCAGAAAACGGTCGACAAGCCCTCTGCAGACGCTAGGGTTCAGAGTCTCTTTCAGATTCTTGACTAAAGCCTTGACATCTCTTATGGTCATCTCAACATTTCGTAAAATCAGCTGACGGTTATTTATCCAACTGACCAGCCTGGGAAACATGTTGTAGAGCTGTGAAAACAAAGATTAATGAAGAAAATGCACACCCAACATATATACTGTACAGTGTATTCAATGTTAAGACACACCTGATCAGTAATTTGATACAGTAAAATAAACGTTTCCCATCTCCATACTTTAGTTTCAATCATTCTTTTATTGTTTTGTCAGTTAAATGTTACCCTAAAGCAACTATTTAAGCTGATACTAGAATGATGCTCCACCAGCACCTTTAAAGAGATAATGGATGTTTACCCAAACATACAACAACACACACATTTCTTACACCAACCAGCCCAAATCTGTATAAAAGACCTGAAGACAGTACTAAACCTTCCATTGGACTTTCTGCTAAAAGCTTATGGTGTTGACCATTTGCAAAAATATTGAACAAAAGCTTTCATGTTGTCCCTAAATCATGTATTTTTCAACCGAAGCAGTATGAGGCCTACCTGGATTTGTGCAGATCCAACAATGCATATGGACTGGTTGGCTCTTCTGACCATTTCCTTGAATCTGGGGTCATTGTATTCGAATCTGCTGCCATACACGATAGAGGAGATGATATTGGATGCTGCATAATTCAACAGGCGCGCTGTATCAAATGGTTTCCCTGTAAAATGGCATTGAGAATACTGATATTATTAGGATTTCAGAAGAAAACAAAGAGGGCAGCCTTTTAATATTAAAATGAACCTCACCATGATTTACCTTTGCTACAACAAAACTGTAAAACATGGGTGATGAATAAAAAAATGCTTTTTACTCCATACCTTTGTGATCTTCAAACATTTGGGTCAGATGGTGGCATTCCTCTAGGATTTTTTGCTCCGCTATTCTTTTGCCCATGCCAAAGTCTCTCAGGGTGCTGAGGGCAAAACGTCTCAGCTCTTTCCATGATTCTCCATTTGCAAACAGGATTCCTTTTAAACATGACATGCATGTTAAATATAATCTGTAGTAGTCATGTCTGTATTATTCAACACAATATTCAAGTGTAATTTGACTCACACAAATAAATGGTAGGTATTATCACTACAATGTTTTTTCTATTTGAAAGATACTGTATATTAAAGATTATGAAAAGGTAAATCCTACCGTGACCTTCATTCATGTCATAAAAAATAGGGGAGATTTCTCTTTCTCCAAACGCTTCTGCATTGCTGACCAGAGCATCCTTTACTGACTTGTATCCAGCCAGCACCACCACTTTATTGGTTCCAAAGTATACCGTAAACACAGACCCATATGTCTTTGAAAGCTGTTAAAAGATGTAAAAAATTAGAGATGGCGTAAGTAAACATTTTTTTGCATGACCTGCAATTGAATCACTACAACTGTAGCGGCCAAAATCATATAGAAATAAAACTGATAATTAACTTAAAGTGGACCTATCATGCTATATTTAAATGATATATTGTAGGGCCATACCTATATAAGGTATATTTATACGTTTCTGTTTTCAAAATACCAAACAGATCATGATTTTAAGCCATGCCTCATTTCGCTCTATTTGCTGTTCTCCAGCACTGTTTTTGCACGGGGCTGATTCTGTGAGCTGCAGCTGACCACGCCCCCCTACAGGAGAGGGGAGCGCGCTCTGAACAGCTGCTGGGCTGTCAGAAGAGGGGGAGAAAAATAGATCTCTGTCTTCCGTGTTTTATTATAGCCTATTATTATATAGAGTCGTTATTCATTTGTTTTAAAGGGCCCATGTCATGGCCATTTCCACTGATCATAATTACATTGTTGAGGTATACTAAAATAGATTTATACTGTGCAATTTTCCAAACTCACATTGGTTTCGCATACAGCATCTCTGTCAAGCATGTGTATTCAGCAGTATTCACTTTCTCCACTAAACGACTCGTTGGAGCTCTTGCCCCCCCCTCCCTGTGAGCCTAGTGTGCTCCGATTGGTCAGCTCGGCCACTCGTTCTGATTAGTCAACCACCAGAGAGGCTGCGCCCATGTCAGTGCTTTTCCCGGCTGCTCTCAGCGTAACATCAGTCTTATCATGGCGTCGGTACAGCGGTATATTTTATATACATATATATTTTTAACTGTTGTTATAGAAGAGTGTGACGGCCTCAGGGCCTTTGTCTTACGGTGGGGTGGAGCTGAAGAGGGTAATCAGCGCGATCACGGACACCTCCGTAGCCGGTGCTATTAATCCCAGCGGCCCGGAGTCTCTCTCCAAAGCGGCTGCAGAAGGACGAACTGAGCGACCCTCTCCCCTCGACCACCTGTCTCTGCATTTACTACAATAAATGTGCCGTGGTTTTGTAAACTCGTGTATGTCTCCTTGTCTTTCCGTTGTGGCCTACGAGCTACTCTCATAACAAAGAGTAAGTTATTTTTACCCGTTATAAACTACTACTGTTTGATGAGAAATCAAATCATGGTTTGCTATATATGAATTCAGGGAAGAAAGGATAGGCCTACTAAGTATTTCCATTAAACTTTATTTTTAGAAATGTACAAAATGAACATAAATATACATATATACACACGGTATATCATTCATTCCTCCTCCTCGCATCTTGCCTGCGCACAGTCGGTGCGGTGCCTTTTAGCACCCTCAGTAGTAGTAGAATCCCTTCCCCGTCATGGATTGTCCGCCAGGATCTGGCTGGACGAAATCAAATGCAAATCATAAAATATTAGAGAAACTTAGTTGTTTTAGATTCGTTAGTAGTAGTTGTGTAATGAACAGCTTGCCTGCTAATATGCTAACCTAGCTTTGTTTACCTTGGTAGCTAACACGATATGAACGTTAGCTTGGAGGAAAGGCAACTATAATGCAGTGTAATAAAACTACTATGAACAAAAGCTAGTGGTTCATATTAGGCTAGCAATAACGTGTTTATAATTGCAATCGTATACGGGTATTCTGCTACGTTCGGTCATACAATGTAACTTGCATGAATACATTGTTTTGCGCTAGCATACAGCTAGCCTCGTTAGCTACATGCAGTATATGTACGGTCACAATGTACGGTAAATCACAGTACAGTATACTGTATGAGTATTCCGTGTGTGTGACTGCAGACATTCTCCTGCCATGACAAACATGTAAGGCCATCTGCTGACATTGTAGTTGATATATTTAAACGCTAGCAACGTAGCATCACAAAAATGTTTTTCTGACCGAAACTAGCTCTAGCTCCGTGTGTTAGATCGCTACGCCAGCTATAATGTAATTACGTTTCGCGACTGACCGGCAAATCACCCGGAGTATACTGTCAATAGGTATTTTGTGTGTGAATGCAGACATTCTCCTGCCATGACAAACATGTAAGGCCATCTGCTGACATTGTAGTTGATATATTTAAACGCTAGCAACGTAGCATCACAAAAATGTTTTTCTGACCGAAACTAGCTCTAGCTCCGTGTGTTAGATCGCTACGCCAGCTATAATGTAATTACGTTTCGCGACTGACCGGCAAATCACCCGGAGTATACTGTCAATAGGTATTTTGTGTGTGAATGCAGACATTCTCCTGCTATGAGATACATGTATGCAAGGCCATCTGCTGATATTAGAGTTGATATATGGAAACTCTAGCAACTTAGTTAGCACTGTGTCAATGGCTTAGCAGTCCAACACAGTTTACACATTTAAACAGTCTTGTTTGATAAATACACAAATAACAATGCAAACTTACAGGTTGTATACCCAGATCTTCCCCTGCTCCAAACGGTCCAAACAAGCTGTGCATATCCGGCCTCAAACTGGGCAATGTTTTGGAAGCTTTCGTCTGTGAAATGCCGGTTCTTCGAACCTCTGGAGGAGGAACACGACGCTGCTGGTGTGGCCATAGCTCTTCGGGATTGGTCCATTTCGTTCCGGGTACCGCATGACATCAGGCGGTACCCGGAAGAATCAAATGGGCAGTGACGTATCTCCAACGAGGCGTTTTGGGGAGGTATTTTCTGTGTTAGAGTTTTACTCGCTACAGGGTGTACTTTGAGGGTTTTGACTCTGCACACCGTTTACATGCATAAAAACCTTCATAACACACAAGGGGACGGGTAATAACCGGAAAAGCATGACATGGGAGCTTTAAAGCTCAATAAATAACAAAGAAGACCTTTGACCGGCACTTTTCTAATTTTGTCCGGAAGATTTAAACTTTAACGGACATCTTGACCGGCGAAAGAAACTGAAACTCTGCCGCACGGTCCCCTTGTTCCTTGGAAGAGGCGGAGAGGTGGGTGTTTATCATCTGCTGGTGGACTAACCGGAGAGAATTACAGTGCTTGCCTCGACGGGGAGGGATTGCATTGAATTAAAGCAGCAGAAGGAGCAAACGCTTGCCTCGGGGAGGAAGAAAAAAAGCCACAGCGGAGAATAAACAGAAGGGTAACCATGGTAACCATGCACGGGAAGTCTTCTTCGTTGCTTTTGTGGCAGACTACAGCGCCACTTACAGGCCTGGCATATGTACTACAGCGTCTCCAGCGCTTTTGAGCGGTAATGGCCGGCCGTGGCCCAACCCCACATTCCCCTGATAGGTGGAGAGTTGGCCCAATAGCCGTAGCGCCACTTTCCTGACGTCAGTAAAGTGTTCAAATGTGGATCAGTTTTTATCAGATCCGTTGCAGCCCCTTTTTTAGAGATTTGGGTATGGAGGAAAATAGAGAGGGTTGTGTTTTCTGACACGTGCATTCCCTGGAACACCGGGGACACATATTCATGTATAAAAGACGTACAAAAGTGCATTTTGCATGATAGGTCCCCTTTAAAATAACACTGCCGCTGAGGCACTAGTTAGCGGAACTTACGGAGGGCAATGATCCAGGTCTAGACAAGAGTATCCGTTTGTGCATTTTATTATGATCCAATATCATTCAACAGGTTTCCTATGGTTTGTTCCTTAAGCCTTTCCTATGGCTTTCCTTTCTTGTGGCTGGAAAACCCTGGTAAAAAAACCGTTTGCCTACTAGTGCTCTGGCTCCCACCACCACCTGTCTCCAATATATACAATTACACCAGGTGCTCTAATCACCCAGTGCCCAAACATGCCTTCAAAATAAAAGCATAGAAACTACTTTAACTTACGACAATAACTAGGAATAGGCTACATTTACAATAAACACTATAAACAGCAAGAACATAAATGTTTAAGTATTACATAATATAAAGAGATATATAGCTCCAACAACAACAACTGTATCAAAATGGATTTGCTTTAGGATAGCTCACCTCATAGAGGGTTTTGTAGGGTCTCTTGAGATCAAGCTGCAACAGGTTACCAAGCAGGGGAAGAGGCCTCGGTCCTGGGGGCCCCTTCCCTATTTCCTTGGTGATTAAACTACTGGATACAAGATAGAGGATGAGCAGGAGAGCCACCAACCCCAACAAAGTGGTGGGATTAGAGAAAAAGATGAGAACAAAATCGTGCCAAAGAGACATTTGTTCTGCTGTTGACAGTGCTTAGCCCTGCAGATAACACCGTGGTGTTCACGCTCCTCATGCAAGCACAAATAATATGGAATGTTGTTGACTGAGCTTTAGGTAAAGGAGCATTATGGGCTGGTCCCCGCCCACGAGGACGGTGTTTGTGACACAGATCCAATCCTGGCAGTCAAAGCAGAAGGACTTTAACCCTCCTGTTACATTCAGGGTCAAATTGACCCGTTGGAAAGTTTGAAAATCTACGAAAACACACACACACACACACACACACACACACACACACACACACACACACACACACACACACACACACACACCACACACACACACACACACACCACACACACACACACACACACACACACACACACACCACACACACACACACACACACTTAATTGCTGTTATATAAAATACTTTCAATACAAATCCTTATGATTCATTTGGCTTGATTCTAAGTGAACGGGTCAATTTGACCCTGAACAGAAGAGGTGTCTCGTCTCTATGTATCAACATCAACCAATTGGAAAACAAGTTGGAACATTTTAAAAGTAATTTTAAAAATGTTATGTTATGCAAAACTAATGTATTTTATATCAAGGTTTTTCCAATGTAAAAAAGAAAATAGAAAAATGTGTTTGAATGTATATGTTTTGTGAAAAACAAGTGACTTATTCTAATGGAACCATGATCTGTGAGAGGTGAATAACACAATTGCACTAAATATTGATTTCATTGATAGTAATAAAAGGTACAAACTATGTACAAAAAAATATCTGGATTTTGGGGCTTCTGACCATTTTTGGATAATTAAACATGCACTGGGTCAAATTGACCCACGAATATTATTGCTGTTACAAAAAACGAATATAACAGGAGGGTTTGGAGATTAATGTTTTGGAGGCTGAAGACTTAAGGAGCGGTTTGACTGGTCTGTAAAAAGTCATATAAACATAGGTCTGTTTACCAATGCATGGCAGGGTAGAGTGAGGATATCTTGCAATAGGTTAACCTCTTTACCCTGTTGTGTCTTTTTGCATGTGTTTCCTTAATTTGCAGTGTGAGGATCTCTCAGGGCCACAGGCAAATTAATCAGTGATCAGTATCATCAACCGGGGTGGTTTCACTGGAGTTAGACATATTACCTCAAGACCAGTGGCGGCTGGTGGTCTTTTATTTTGGTGGGGCTCTTGACGTACCGGAAGTGACCTGCCGGAAGTGACCTACCGGGGGGGTCCGGGGGGTTTACCCCCCCGAAAAAAAAATTCGAGAAATGACCCCTTAAATTATGACTTCTGGTGATGTTAGAGGGGGGGGGGAAAGGAGAAATCGAGGCTTAAAAATATGAGAAGACTGATCAATACCTCCATAATCTTCAGTGTGGAAAATATTATTTATCAACCTGAACATCTAATACTTTACCAGGAATTTGTATTCTCAGAACTGGTCCGCATTTTTCTTTCTTAAAACTGTTCATGTTTTATGAACCAACACCTCCACCAAGTGGCTTTACAGTGAACTGCATGTGGGATATAAAATTAATAGCATATTTTCAGTAGCATTAATTATAAATATTTAAGTGGTTCAATACAAGTCACTACAGCATTTCAAACTGAACTGTGAATAAATGCAATTTAAAAAAAATAACCACAGCACAAAATGTCATAAATTGTGTTTTTTCTTTGTTTCTCTGAGGATTATTTACAAACAGGTTTATTTACATATAGCAATAACTCAGAAATGAAAAAGCTACATCGTCTAACACGAACAACCAGTTAGCATAATGATAATATATGTGTTATGTACAATGTAACTGGCAAGGCTAGAGCAAGAAAGAACATAAAGTTTGCAAAAGGTTTAAATAACTTCAAGTATCTGTCTTCAGATTACGTGGAGGTTTTAGTCCGATGGGAAGCAGATTTTAAGCGACACCGAAGATAAACCAAAGATGTGGTGGAGCTGCAAACCGTGTAGTGTTGCTGGGACAGGAGCTATAACCGTTGGAAAATACATCACAGACAATGCAACAAACGTGGAGACAGAACAATCACTTCTGTGATAAATGCCCACTTATTAATAAACTTCTAACAACCATGGGAAACCTACTCTCTACATATAAAGTGATATCCAGCTTATTGGCCTATAGCACCTTTTTTACTGCTTTGAATAACAAAATGTGCAACAGGCAGAAAAAAGACAAAAGGAAACAAGAAACAACTGTTCCTCTGGGGAAAATGAGTCGAACGCAACAGGTTTCCAAACAGTACTCATGTTCCTGGACTTTGTGGTTGAACAAAACATCTTAGGTATCCAAAAGTAACTTCACAACATTCTGCATTAATTATGCATTAACATTAATTGTCTCTCTAATGAAACGCATTTTTTTAAGGGTCGGCCATCTGTGTTTGCTGCGAGAGCTTGTGTGTGTGTGTGTGTGTGTGTGTGTGTGTGTGTCTATTTGTAGAGGAATTTTGCCCTTCTCTCCTTCTGAGTGGCAAACCTCTCAATGACTCTGGTGTTGAAGTCAGGAATGCTCCTAATGAGTTTTTTCTCAATTGACAGCATAGCCAGAGCATTCAGGCGATCCTGTGTCATGCTGTTCCTCAAGAAAGTCTTTATCCTTTTCAGAGTGGAAAAGCACCTCTCTGCCTCAGCCGTAGCCATGGGTGTGGTTACAAGAACCTTCAGAAGACTGACAGTCTCTGTAAATGTCTCCTGCAGATTATTGTCAAGGAAGAACTGGAGCAGAGTAACAGCACCACTGCAAGCCCTGAACTGGTCATTGTCATAGACGAGGGACAGTTCCGTCTTGAGCTTTGCCTTGTCCAGTAGAGGGTAGGCCTCCACAGTTGTTTCCAGCGCTGCTTCAGGGAATGTTCGGCTGTGCTGCTGGAACAGGTCTCCTTGCAGGAGGGTGGAGCTGATGAGGTGTTTGGTGAAGGAAAATCTCTCCTTTGCGTGACTCAGTATGGTATCACATACCTATGAAATAATGCACAATGAAAAAATCAAGACATAATAAATAACAGAATCACCTTTTCACATCTATCAGTCATAATGTCATTAGTGTCCCCTATAAGATGTGTAACAAACAAAGAGCTTTCTTGTGAATGGAACCTATCAGAATAACAGGACATCTATCTGAGCATCAACAGAACAATATTACTGTTTAAAATTAAGTCACTACAATATATACATTTAATGACTATGTTTACACTTCATTCATTTATTGTTGGGCCCTTTCTGTCCACTGTGGTTGCTTCTGGAAGCCTAAACCTTTTCTGATCTGTCTTGATCCCCTTTGAAATGTAGAGACTGTGGGACACTTTTTGCAGTTTAGGCCTTGTTAAGTGTATACAATTCAGAATGTAATAAGCAATAGGCCTTTCCATGTAGATATTTTAACTAGCCTACCTATTTATTTAATTTACAGAAAATGGGCTTTCTTGTGAAATGTATCATTATTGTGATATGAAATGACCTATATTATGAAAGGAGCTTTTAGTCATAGAACACGTTCCTATTACTGCTTACCTCTCTAGCCAACAGCTGTTGCTCTTCATGTCCAAGTCCCCTCCGTTTCTTTGTGGGCAGCTGCTGAGATCCACTGCTTTCACCAGAAGGAATGGAGTCCCTGATCCAAACCACAAGTAACCATGTACAATTACTCATTGTGGCAAGAATTGACAAATTAACTTGACTATTTGAAATAGTAGTCAGAGATACACCTTATAAACGTTATATAATATATACATTTCCAGTAAGCCTGTTTAAGATATTTAAACAAGTATGTGTGAGTTGGTCTATTGTGTTCAGCTAAATCACATTTAGGTTTCACAGATTTCCTATAATAAGCACATCTCAGCCATTGTAAATAATGATTTACCTGATTGTTTGTATGCTGCTGGTGAACCTCTTGATGAGTCCTGTGATGTAGACAGAGTCGATGTTCCTCTTCTGCAGTTGGCTAAACAGCATGTCTACATGTGGCATGATCTTGTGGAACAATGTCAGGAAAAAGCAAAAAACTTCATCTTCCATCATTCGCACAAAGCCCCCGGCTTCTCTCACTGTTATGGGATCAAAGTCACCTGAGTCTCTGATCGTCTGGAAACACCTCAGGATGTTCTCCTTGTGCTCATATACAGTGTTAACAGCACGACTGTGAAAGTTCCATCTTGTTGTGGAAGTGCCAGGAAGTCTGTGTGCCACCACTTGATCCAGGATCGCAGTTCGCTTGAATGACCTGGAGAAAAATGCAGCAAATCCACCAAGGTCTGAAAAAAATGTTCTTATCTTGGGGATGTGGGATGTTGCCTGCTGCATAATTAGGTTCAGCTGATGCGCATAGCAGTGGATGTAGTGCGCACTACTGTACACATCCTTCACTTTCCGCTGAACTCCACCTTTAGCTCCCCTCATCACCGCTGCACCGTCATAGGCTTGGGCGATTAGTTTGCCCTGTTGTCCATCGGGGAGGATAGTGCCCAGCCTCTCCATCAGCGCGGTGGCAACTGTGTCAGCATTCGCATTCTGAAGAGGAATGAACTCAAAAAAACGCTCCTGGACGTTGTTATGCGGGTCGATGTAGCGTAGCACAAGCACTAACTGGCAGTGGGTGGAAATGTCAGTTGTCTCATCCGCCTGAATAGCTAAATAACTGGCATTTTTTACTTCCTCCAGAATGTAGTCTTTACAAACTGATAACATGCAGTCCAAAAGTTCATTTTGCACCGTCTTTGAGGTGCCTTTGAAAACCGTAGCCGTTTTAAGGTGATCCTCCAACACGCTATCTAACGAGGCCAGTAGATTAACTAAACCCAGAAAAACGCCGGGGTTGTCGGATGTGTCAGCCTCGTCGTGGCCACGCAAAGCCAGGTCAAAGCCCCCACAAAATTTCACACAATCAATTATTTTAGACAAGACGTGCCTATTCTTGTCCACTTCTTCATTGTGCTTTTTCACCGAGATCTTGTACCCTTGATCTAGCTGTGCGGCTATGTTAGCTTTGCCTAGCATGGCTAGCTTAAAGGTGTTTGTCATGTGTGCCTTAGTGCACTCGTGCTTTTTAATTTTGTTGGACAAATGCTTCATATCGTTTACTCCTATCACAGTCCACGGGCACATTGTATCTGTCCCCGGCTGTTTGAAGAGCAAGCATGGGAAACAAAAGACAGCATTTACCTGTTTGC